TTTGGGCACTCCATCCAGTTGGTTTGCCCAGTTTCCAGCATTCGCCCGGTTAGTCCCTTTTCCCAAAAAAAAATGACTACACCCCACACGAAGTCCTGCTTTAGTACTGGATCTGCTGATTTTGGGGCCCCACTGAAGTGGGGTGTAATTCATAGCCAGTCCACCTCAATAATCTCTGTTGATCTATAGACCCCATCATCTCCATCCGCACCATCAACAAAAACAAGCTTCATGTTGGTAAAACAATGCCATCTTCATCAATATAAATCACCCATCTAAAATGATGGTTTCCAAACCACCTTTTTCAATGGTGATCTGATGAAGTTGTTTTGTGCTAAAATGGCATACTGTTTGACCAACATGAAGAATCCATCGGTGAGGCCCCAAAAATAAGCTGCTTGGTGGTTGAGCGAGCCCTACCCCTCTGAAATTTATCATGGAGTGAGTGAGTTCGTCAGTTGGGATGATGTTCCATCCCCAAGTGTTTCTGGACAAATCCATTAAAATCCATTAAAATCCATTAAGCCACTATAATCCACTAATCCCAAGTGTTTCTGGTTCCAGTCATGAAAAAAAATCCAAACGGTTCCAGTCACCACCAGTCACCAGAGCGGCATTCACGAAGACGCAGGACACCGGATCCCCCAGGTCTGTCTGGAAGAGGTAGCTGGTCCTCCAGGGCCCCCGGCCACGAGCCGGCAGCGAAAACGCTATGTTTGTTGGTGGTTTATACACGGAAAATCAAGAAAGGAAAAGTATAGATACATTGGGATTTCCTGGGATTTATGGCTGATCTATGATAGCTAAGTTGGTGCACATAACTTCAATGTCACTATGGTTTATGGTACTTTAATAACTTATAACGAACTAGTTACTGGGGCTTATGTTTGTTTTATACAACCCAAATTCATACTATGGTTGTTTTGGTATCAAAAATCATAGTGAACTTGTAGTTATGGGCACCAACTGAACGCTATCGTTTGGGGGCCCGACATAGCAGGAAATATGGAGCTTTCCATACATGGAGCTTCTTGAACATGGATGGTTCAAAAAGTGGAACATCCCAACCTAAAATGGATGATTTAGGGGTAACCACATTTTAGGAAACCATCATATAGTTCATTAAAGGTATTAAAGGAAAATCCAGAGGGTAATCAATAAATTTGTCGACTAACTATGCTTAAATGAAACCCATCTGCTGTACTTATCTCCATATGCATATGTTTCTCATGCAGGATTTTCCAATTCACAATCTCGGTGTATGTTATCCTTCCGAAACTATCCTTACTGGTGCTAAACGTAGGGAATGGATGGGAATGGGGGTTGCTGGGATCATTATTGATAGTTATTGTGGATCATTCCCTCATTCCCTACATTTAGCACCAGTAAGTATCAAGGTTTCCGAAGTTCAGAAGTACTATCATACTCGACCCCAGAGGTGCCCCAAGATGGTTGATAACAGCTTGCTGGTTAAGCCCTCCTTTTTTTGCGCCATTGGGATGTATAGATATCTGCTTGGTGGTATACCTACCTACCTAGCCCGAAAAATGATGGAGTGAAAGTCAGTTGGGATTATGACATTCCCAATATGTATATATACACATATATACATGGAAAACAAATCATGTTCCAAACCAGCAACCAGATATGTAAGGTTTGTAAGGTTGAATCATGTCGAATCCCCCTGACATCGTCTGAATTTTGCATAATCTTGCCCACCCTGTCCTCGGCATCTTGGCAAAACGGACTTTTGGTGTATCAAACCATCGAAGGCTTTTGCTGTGCCGCGTTGTCGTCAAATTGGGTGATACCCGCAATTTTTGAGCGGAAACATCACACTCAAATCATGAACCAGCATGGGTAGGGCTCTAAATCACGCCAACAAAAGGAGACATCTTGCTTAGTTCGCATTCGATTGCTACACCGGATGTAGCAGCCGGCCAACTTGAAAATGTCAAAGACCTTTACATACCTCCACCTCATGCTCCGCACTGCATAGATGGTACACCCTCATATGAGGAACAGGAAAGAGCGTGTTTCATCTCTCACAACTGCTCCGCAAAAACATGCTGTAGCCATGCTCTTTACATATAGACCGCAAAGATGTCAAGCCGATTATGCATTTGGATTCATCACCAGGTTTTTTTTCGCTGGTAAGTATAAACCATTCCCAATCATGGATGGTTTATGACATTGTTTTACCATGTTTTACCTAAAACCTGAATCTTGCGGCCCATTTGGGCATGAGTTCCCGAATCCTAACCATGATTTCCAGGGTTCAGGAGAACAGTGAGGTCGTTATAATTTACCCAGATATTATGCCATGATGATATCGCCATTCTTCCGAATGTTAAATCCCAACTGTTGATCTGGTTCCGCTTCGAGCCGGAGCTGGCTGCAGCTGGTATGCTGGATCTGGGGATGCTTCGAAGAGAGGACAGGAACAAAGCAAATGGTCATTGTTTATATATATATGGTTACAATGTGGGGCCCAATTATGTAAGTTGGTTTATAATGTTTAATTCCCATGAATACTACTTAAAGTTATATCATGTTATATTAATTACCCTAAACATCCATAAACCATAGAATTCACCTAGTCAATGTGAATTTCAGGATCCTAAAATAGAGGTACTGTACCATATAAGGCAATATTTTGTGGGGACATTCCCTGAAATTTAGGCCTAAAAATAGGCCTTATATTAATGGTAGGTACCTCGAATCAATCGGTTCCTGAAATTCCCATTGATCATATGCTTATAGTTGTAGTTATCATTAGTATTATATGACATAATATAATGTAGTGTGATTAGCCATTATCAGTTAGACCATAGAAAATATTACTGTTCATTGTTAACCACATGATTCTTATTAACCATATCATTAACCATTACTAATGGTATGATATTAACCATAGGGTTATTAAGCTATCAACCATTAACAACCACATTACATGAGTAACTTCTTAGTATTAATAATCACTATGATGATTAGTAACCATAGGATTCTTATTAGTAACTATATGACTGCCTGGAATATTGACCTAGTATTATTTCAGCCAACTTCGCGATTTCGTTGGGACCCTCAACATCTGCCGGTCCCCTGGGCATCCTAAGATTTCGCATCGCTACAAGGGGGTCACCCATATGACGGCTTAGTTGGTTGAGTTCTGCCGGTGAACTAGGGTTTATGGACAGTTTATGGTAGATAGATATATATATATATACACGTATATAAATATAATATAGCCTCTGGTAATTTAACAGTTTGCGAACTGGAAAGATCCAACATAGCTAAAATAGGTGAATCAATTATTTCTATGGCGATTTTCCATAGCTATGTAACAAATTACCAGAGGGTAGTTAGGTGGGTTTATAAATCAACTTGCAACTTGGCGACAGCACCTTGTACTCATCGCAACCCTGGCCATCAAATGTCCCCCATTGAATTTAGGCTCTATGCCCAGGTCCACGTTGAAATCTTCCAATTCCTGCTATTGAATTGTCGGTCGGAATACTCATTTTTGTTGGCTGCTAACACTCCCTCCAGTTTTGCGAGTCAAAGTCATTTTTCTTGCTGATGGTTGCTGATAATACCTCCAAAACTACGGCTTGAAAACCTCATTTCTGTTGCTACCCCCATTTTTGCTGGTGCAACTGTAATGGAAAAGCCGCAACCCATCCCTTTCCCTTCTGCAGGCTCCTGACCTCGGGCGGCTAGGCTCAATGGTTATCCGACTCTAGTGGTTTCTATACTCATCAGAAACATATCATGACTGGTTGGTGGTTTTAAACATCTTGAAACATACTAGTCAATGGGAAGGATTATCGCATATATTATGAAAAATAAAAATGTTTGAAACCACCAACCCGATGATATAGAACATTGATTCAAGCTTATTTCTGGGATGGAAAATTGAAAATCATGGAAACAACAACATATATATTTATGAATTCAAACCACCAGGGCAGTGCTTGTTTGTAAGAGGGAGATCTACGTCTTTGGCTGTCAAAACCAGACTTTTCAAGATGAAGTCCGTGCTTTTTCATGATCAATGGATGAATTCCCTGAATAATTCCTGTGAATCACTGAATCACCGCTCACTTCGATGATTTCTATCTAGTTGGTGGTTGAGCCCTACCCCTCTGAAAAAATATGAAAGTCAGGTGGGGTTACTATTCCCAATATAAGGAAAAATAAAAAATGATTCAAACCACCAACCAGCTATGAACTCTCACCATAATTTGCCCATCCACAGATGTCCAAACGCTTCCGGAGAAGGTCTGGAAAACCCCTTCGAAGAGGAGGTGTTTGTCCGAGGGACATCTGATAAAGTTGCTCTCAACACTAAAATCATCTATACAATCCATGTGCTATAGGTGGTTAAAAAAAAAACTGCAGTCTTCATGTGTGGTTCAATGGTCAAGTCTTCTTTTGTCATGTGATTATATGCAGTTGGTGGTTCCGAACAAAATGCAAACATATCAAAACCACCAGCCCACTCATATCAAACCAATTCACACTGGAAAAAATGGGAAAATAGCAAGCCTGGTTTGCTATTCACAACTGGTGTTACCCATCAAAGGATTCTGTTCAAGAAAAATATTCTGGATCATCCTTGATTTTTAATCAAACAAGTGAAATCAATTCGGTACACCATCGTAGACCTGGGATGTTGATGTGGTTGTCCCGCAAGGCCAGCAGCTACCCGGCTACCCCCTTTTTTCATGGCAGCCGGATTGGCGAAACTGTCGAAGAATTGTCCAAGCACCGGGTCAATCAACTTGGATAAAACATATACCCTCTGGCTATTTAACAGTTCGCCATGGAAAATCCCCATTTTTAATAGGTAAACCCAGGTAATAGCCATGGAAAGATCCACCATTTTTAATAGGTAAACCATTTATTTCTATCGGCCATCTATACCATGGCTATGTTAGTCATAACCAGAGGGTAATTAATATATGAAGCGCTAATCGCAAACCATGAGCATATCAAAGTCAGCACGAGCAAATTGGTTCCAGTAGCTGCATGGCACGATGATCCAGAGACATCATTTTCCAGGCTTCCGGGCCAAATTGCAGACTTCCAGAGAAACCTTTCTGCATCATCCGCGCGGCAGTGTTCACCTCGAATTCTCAGGCGTCACCGGCAAGCGGCTCTAGGTCGCCCCGAAAACAGCCCCCGACAAAAAGGGGGTCTTCCCACCTACCACGATGCGGCCGATGACACCAAGCCGCAGTGTCTCCGAAGAGACGAAAACGTGGGAGTTTCTGACCAATGACACCTGCCATCCAGCCATGGGAATCCCGGCCTTGGTTTAAGAAATTCGATGAAATAGACATCTCTAGACTCCAATCATACCAAACAAGTCGAAAAACACCATTATGTTCTGATACATTGTGATATTTGCATTGAAATTCAATTTGGAGAAGTCACAGTTTGACCCATGGCGCTAGACACTTGTAAGTTGATGAAACACGAGGCGCTACAATACCCATTCCATGCGCCTGATGTTTCACCATGTTTCACCAACTTACAGTGCATCCCAGTTACTAGTGGTTGCGAACCCTGGTATCAATCATCCCGAGAGAGTGTACCATGGCTTTGATTCACTTGAGCAGTGTTCGGAAGCCTCTGTCGTTCCAGTATACCCTCTGGTAAACATACAAAAAGCTATGGAAAATCACCATCTTTAATAGGTAAATCAACTATAAATGGGCCATTTTCAATAGCTATGCAACAAATTACCAGAGGGTACTGCTTGGTGTTTTTTCGGAATTCCCATGTCCTTTTCATCACGATGATGACCAATCCTCAAGACAACCCCAAGGTGCAGCCTCCCACAAATAAAGTTAAAAAAACCTATGTTATAAGCAAATTAGTCATTTCTACCATAAACATCATATACATTAAAAACATCAGAAACATCATAAGCATCATAAACATCATAAACCATAGAATTCAACCACTTCTTTGCGCCACCTTAACGAAATCACAAACGACGTTTAAAGTTTAACGTTTCAACGTGAAGGCCTGCAACCACTGGTCCAGTGTGCATCCCCATCTTGAAGGTCACAGGCAAACCCTGGTAGCGTCTCGCGCAAGCGAGACGAAGCGTGGGAAGTTTAGTCGAAAGACCATGTGAAATCATGCAATGTGAGGCCCCCAAGATAGATAAGTTGGTGCACATAACTCCAATTTCACTATGGTTTATGGTACTTATAACTATACTTACTAACTCCAATGACTATGGTTTATGGTACTTATAACAATACTTACTAACTCCAATAACTATGGTTCATGGTACTTATAACGAACTAGTTACTGGGGCGAATCTAAACAAACAAACATCACTGGGGGGGGGCACCACCTTGTGTGAATTATGGGGATAGTAATTGGGATATGCTGCGATAGGATAGATGATATGAAATAATTTTGCGTGAGATACGAAACTTTCAGGGGTATAGCCAACAAAACACCCCAACAAAAAGAAAGCAACACAGCAAAGATATGGAGACATATATACACATGATATTAAATGATATACATCATATACCGTAACTGTTAGTCATAACCAGAGGGTATATCCATCAATATCCAGGAAAATTATCCCATTATTATCCCATTATCATCCCTATAAAACCATTAAAAAAAAAACAATATAAAACCATATAAAACCATATAAAACCATTAAAAATCATATAACACCATTAAACAAAAATATATAAAACCATATTAAACCATATAAAACCATATAAAACCATATTAAACCATATGAAACCATATTAAACCATTTTAAACCATATTAAACCATATTAAACCATATTAAACCATAAAAACCATATAAAACCATATGAAACCATATTAAACCATTTTAAACCATATTAAACCATATTAAACCATATTAAACCATAAAAACCATATAAAACCATAAAACAACATATAAAACCATACAACATGTAAAACCATAAAACAACATATAAAACCATATAAAGCCATATAAAAACATATTAAACAATTTTAAACCATATTAAACCATATTAAACCATATAAAACCATATAAAACCATATAAAACCATATAAAACAATAAAACAACATATAAAACCATAAAACAACATATAAAACCATATAAAACCATATAAAACCATATAAAACCATCTTTAGCCAAGCTCCCGGGCCATCTTTGGTTTCCGCGCCGCCTGGGCTTTCATTCCAGGTGACCCCAGGTGACCCAACTGAGATGGGGGTGGCTCAGGTGACCTGTTTGGTACCCCTGTTTGAAAACAAAAATAACTTCGCTGGGTTCAAAAACATGCTATTTTATAGGTATATGTGGACATTTATCTATGGTTTTTACAGGTATTTCTAGGTATTTTATAGGTATATGTGGATATTTAATGACATTTATCTATGGTTTTTACAGGTATTTCTAGATATTTATAGATTAAAATGGATTAAAATGGATATTCATCCCTCAACAAATGGTATTTGTAGGTATTGATCCATAGCCAAAAAAACAGGTGTAACCACACCCAAATAGTTGGGAAATAGATGCACCTGCTGTTGATACTTGCAACTTGCAACAAAAAACTACAGCTAAAAAAATGCGATAAGCAGACAAATGAATGTTCCATTCAATTTTTTTTTCAGAGGCCAGAAGGAGGCTATTTGGGTGAGCTGGTGATTGATTCATCTGGATGCTGGTGGTTCAGTTTCCAGTTGCAAACACATGGTACCCTAACTCTTAGTATCTTGATGATTCCTCAGAACTCCCAACCGTGTCAAACCATCCCCCATCTGAGTTAACACAAGGCAGAATGGCTGAACATCTTTTGATATTTATCTGGTTGGTGGTTTTAACCACATTGAAAAATATTATATAGTCAATGGGAAGGGATTATCCCATATATCATAGGAAAAAAATGTTTGAAACCACCAACCCGTTATGATATCTTCCTATTTTGATATCCGTTAACATACTTTAAATGGTACTCGGCATTCATCAAAGCTTTGTTTGGAGCGCCATCCAATCGTGAAACCAATCTACATCTCTTGGACTTGATGATCGTCGACACTCGCATTTCCCAGAACACTTGTGTATCTGAAAAGGTGGATAAAATATGGTAAAATCAACCAAAATCAACCATAGAAAAGGTACGAAAATGGTTTTGTCCATGAAATCATATGTTTTGGGAGATGGGTCAAAACATGTTAAAACCACCAAGCAGTTATGTTTTGATTCGGGAAATGATGATTCTCCCAGAAACTTCGTCCAAGCCATGCCGGATCCAAAACTTGTTCTTGGTGGTTAAAAAGATGTTAAAAAGTAGACACGGCAAGCACATACAGTAGGCGAAACCTAATGTTTTTTTGTTGGTTCATTAAGGGCGATTTTCATGTTACCCTCTGGTAATGACTGTATAGCTATTGAAGCCATGGCCCAATCGAAATAGTGGATTTACCCAGCTATAAAAAGGTGGATCTTTCATGATCTTTCCATATAAATCACCATTTTCCCATGGTTTTCCCATGGTTTTCCCATGGTTTTCCCATAAAAAATTGTGATTTTTCCTATGACAAATGGTGGATCTTTCCCCTGAGCCACTATAAACTTTGTCCAGATCCAGCAGGTCTAGCCACTGACTATAACCAGGGAATAGCGTGCAGTAAACTAACATAGCTATGGATTATGGATCCATATGGATCCTTTCTGGATCCTTTTCTGGTCCATTTATAGATGCTTTACCTATAAAATGCAGTCATGATCCAGTTCGCAAAGTGTTTACCAGAGGGCAACCAGTCGTTCGCCACATATCGTTCGCCAGTTGGAGCCCAGTTGGGTCTGCGCGCTAAAATCTCTGCAGCTGCCTCCGGAAAAGCGCGGGGAGGAACTGGATGGAACTGGCTCAGTGGCTTCAACAGCCCCACATCCTGAAGAAGACTATGGTGATACAGTGGATGGAAGAAATCCTGCACCACCTTGGATGGTTGAAACCCTTTAAATAATGGGATAAAGCACCTATCAGCTGGTGCAAGATTTCGCAACCATCCACAGTATCATGGGAATTATAGTGGCGATATTTTGTTTCATCATGGGGATATCATATTATGTCATATGGTAATAACATGTAATAACTCGGGAATCACTGAATCACCAAAATCATATGATTCTTTTTTGTGTGTCTGGAAATGGTGAATGTATCATACAATGTGGGCCCCCCCAGTTATAAGTTGGTTATTTGCGTACCATTCACCATAGTGAAATTGGAGTTTTGTGCACCAACTGAACGCGATTTCGTGGCCGGGGGCCTCACATTGCAATCATAGTAGATGACATCTTTCACCCACATGACCGACATTTGAAAAAGAGGGAACAGCTGTGGGATCTATGGAATCCTGATCCCTACGCCACTTCCCAAAATCCTTGGGTTTCAGTATTTCATTCAGAGAAACCAAAGGATTTGATGATTCTATTTTTTGTAGCGGCCAAACTCTTCGGCCTTGACCCGTCATTCTCCCCTATGGCTGAAGAAATCTGAAACCATCCAGTCGTGTTGTCGAGTGCTCCAGATCTTTCACGATGAATTTGTTCAAGTAGTTTCATTAACGATGTCCAAATTGATATACCCTCTGGTTATTTAACATAGCCATGGAAAATCACCATTTTTAATAGGTAAACCCAGGTATATAAACCATCTATAAATGGGCCATCTATACCATGGCTATGTTAGTCATAACCAGATGGTAACTTTAAGGTTCATATTTGTATTAATTGACCCCAATCAATGAAGGTCTGACTATCCCCGAATATCCGAATATCTTCTGGGAAAATAGACGCACATTAATACACCATGTAACTTGAATATGATGATTATGATATATTATGATTAATTTTATATCTATTTTCCATTATTTTCCCACATGTTTGACTCAACAAAACAAACATGACCAGCAATTTTCTGCAGCCTTTGGTGAAACCGGCAGTGGCCTGGATCAATCGTCCCAAGACAGCGGTGTGTCCCGAGTCCTTCGCCTGGTTTGTGGGTTGCCATGGGATCAGCATAGGCGAAGTCTGTTCCAATGCTAGACTAACAATGGCAATGACATATCCAGTACCCTCTGGTAAACTAACATAACCATGGAAAATCACCATGTTTAATGGGAAAACTCACTATAAATGGCCATTTAGCTGGTTGGTGGATGCTTACAATGTGAGGCCCCCAAACGATAGCTAAGTTGGTGCACATAACTCCAATTTCACTATGGTTTATGGTACTTATAACGAACTAGTTAGTGGGGTGAATCTAAACCAACAAACATAACTGGGGGGGGGGCACATTGTAGACTAACACTGGTAGACTAACGCTGGTTGGTGGTTGAGCCCTACCCCTCTGAAAAATGATGGAGTGAAAGTCAGTTGGGATGATGACATTCCCAACTGAATGGACAAATAACAAATGTTGGAAACCACCAACCAGATCTTGTCTAATTTTGGATGAATTGGATGATTGGAAAATCTGGGGCCCAATTTTAGGAACCTCCAGATGCTGATTTTTGTTTACTGGGGTTGGTGGGTTTAACACATTTGAAAATATGCTCGCCATCTCAACCAATGATCCCGTTACAACAATAAACATTTGAACCCCCCAGCCAGTTTCTATGTTTGAAAATTGAATCTTGAGCTCTATTGGTTAAGCACAATGGGTGTTGACTGTGGGTTTATTGTCTATGAACAATTGGTTGTTGCCTCGGATAAATGCCCATAAAATCCCATAAAGCATACTGCTCCATACTCTGGAATTTGTATTTACAGTACCTCCAAATATAATAAAATGTTCTGAAGTGGAATAATTATAAACTGGTTGGTGGTTTCAACCCCTCTGAAACATATTAGTCAATGGGAAGGATTGTCCCATATATTGTCTATTGATGTCTATTGTGGATATGGAAAATAAAAAAATGTTCCAAACCATCAACCAGTAAACCTACTTGCTACCCATTCACCTTACATCAAATGATCCTCACAACTAAAACCCTGCTCTGAGGCATCGGGGGCCTCTTGCTCGTCTTCGGGCACGACTCCCACAGCACACCTCGCGGCCCGCGCATGGCGGCATGGCGCGATGGCCCGATCATGGGTAGCTTAAGAGACCCGCAAAATAAGGATAGTGTATGTATGTATATATAATATAAAATTAATATAATATGATATTTATCTGTAGTTATATATATAAGTGTTTGATAGATAGACAAACAGCAGACAAACACACATCTGGATAGATAGGCCGATAGATAGACAGACGAACAAACAGACAAATAGATAGATAGATTGATAGATAGACAATGATAGACAAACAATGACTCACAAATATAAAAGATAAAGCAAGATGGGATAAGAAGGACAGGACAGGATAGAAGAGATAAATAATACATAAAAAAACACTAGATAGATGCAGTGATCGATAGAGTGATAAATGGAGTCGTAAATGGTCTGTATGTTAAACTGTGTATTAATTAATTATATATATATACAAAACCAATTACCACCCGCCTCTACCAAAACAAAGGTGACCCAGCAGTGAAACCGTATCATGGTCACCTAACGGGCTGAAGATGGATAGACAAAAGGGACAACCAAACGAGAGACAAAAACTACATATTTCAGTCTATCACCTCTATCAAAGTTTCGCGAAAAACCAGAACAAACTATAAAAACAAACCGTTCATGGTTTTACTGTATAAATCACCATATTGTTTCTCAAATTCCCATTGAAACATATGAAGTCTCATATTAGAAGCACCTATTTCTTCCGGGGGGAACCATGATCTCGCCATCTCCGTTGGGTGTCCAAACACATACTCCTCACCCACCGTCTCAATCTTCGTCACCTAACCGAGTCGCGTCATCATGTGTCATCGCCCCGTTTTCAGGGCCAACAAACATCACTGTGTAGGGAAGTTATGCCATGGATTGCCATGGATGAAACATGACAATTTCCCTCTGGTAAACTAACATAGCTATTGAAAATGGCCATCTATAGTGGATTTACCCATTAAAAATAGTGATTTTCCATAGCTATGTTAGTTTACCAGAGGGTTATTGGGGGGAAAATGGTGGTTTACCCAGTTGACCACCAACTAACTACATAACTATGGATAAACAACATGATCTAAGCCGGGGAAAACATGTGAATTATGGAAAGCATCTGATTCAAGGAAGAAATTTGTGGTTTAGGTAGGGAAAACGTATGGAAAACGCTGATATTCATGAGGGAATTTAACTACCAGCAACACTATCCACCTGGTTTTGTCCCAAAATGGGGGACTTACCTCCAACAAATGGGACTTTTAAGCAGAGAAATATGATATCTAGCAGAGATAAGGTTAGTTTCTGAATCTTTGTGATCATGAGGCTTAGTCTTCATCCATAGGATGTGAAATAGATACCCGCCCTGGTGCCCTATTCATCCTGTGACGAAAAATTGGAGTTTGGCTGACATGATTCACCACCAGCACGTGGCACGAAGATACCCATGGCCCATGTAAGTTTGAACATGTGGAAAACTCACAAGTCACCATTTAAGTGTATCATTTTCCGAATGGGAAACCGTGGGTCTTCATGTGGTTTCCACATCTTTTTCTATCTTCACCCTAGGGTAAACAGTCATGGCATATATCCAACTTGTTAAAGACACGCGCAGTTTTTCATGGCGCTTCCACCCCCGTGGCCCTTCGTGGCCCTTCGAAGGGCTGCCACACCGCATGTTCGGCGCAAATCAAATCCATCATCGTAAACCTCGGCTGGGCTGGTAATACGCTTGATGGGGCCCTATATGGTGAAATGTTCTGGTTGGTGGTTGAGCCCTACCCCTCTGAAAAATGATGGAGTGAAAGTCAGTTGGGATCATGACATTCCCAATCCCATATGCTCCATGTATGGTATATTCACCTACATTTGGGTGATTTTTAGGGCAAATGTTAGTAAATATTCCATACATGGAGCATATGGGAATATATGGAAAAATAAACATGTTCCAAAGCACCAACCAGTGCTTGTTGGTTTAGTTTCACCCCATGAAATACCAAAAAGAGATCTCTAGAGTTACATCCCCCTAATCAACCCCTAGGTTACCCAAGTTATACAACCGTGTAATCGTTCGGACCCACCTGATGGATACATATGGATGTCTGCGGCTGAAATTCTTGATGATATCAAATGTTTTTTTCAATAACGGGGAATAAAACGTACCTGGATCTCCCACCCTTGCATTTTGTCAGGACTTGGTCTCGGGGTTGAAAATTTTAGGCCCCAGAAATGAAAAATGACCCTAATCCCAATTTTAGACCCTGGCACTTCTGGGGTTTCGGTGTTTATTGGCATTTTTGCACCTGATCCCATGCTGATCCAGCCTGTTTGCTTGACATCGATGCTGTGGAATATTGGGAAGAAACACAAAAACTGATGAATACGATATGCACACCCCAAAAAAGAGTGTCCGGGTTACAATCTGTTCGTCAAAGTTAATCAAAGACTACATACGTTTTAGGTCGATCAATGATGGCTATGAGTTCCCTCACAGGAGACCCATGGGGTTTCTACAAAAAAAACATTGAGATTCAATACATGAAGTTTCTTCAAAATAAACGCATGAAGTTTCTTCAGAAAGCTTCGTGATGGACTCATGAAGTTTCTACATAGTAGTTGACGTTGTTCATGAAGTTTCTCCCAAATAGATCCATGAAGTTTCTTAAACATACTTAAACCGTGCTATGGCATGAGGTCCCAAAACCCAGAAATTTCCGCCACTGATTTTCTCGTGAATAAGGAAATTTGAAAAACTGCGCATGAAGTTTTAGAATCCTCATTTATGAAGTTTCTTCATCCCTGACCCACAGCTGGATTATGACGTTTTTGGCTACTCCCCATTCATGAAGTTTTGATGCCTGACACGCAATTGGAATTCTTCATGAAGATTTTCAACAATCTTCATGGTGTTTTACCATCCCCATTATGTTCATGAGGTTTTTCATCCCTGGCTTCATGAAAAACCTTCATGCATTGAAACCCCATGAAGTTTTTGATATGCATAGATGGAGGATCCTGGTCATGAAGTCTTTTTGCTGCATGTGTGCCTGCCTTATCATAATTTCAAAACCTCGGCCATGAAGTCTTGAGGAAGATATTGTCGAGGAAGTTTCGAGGGATCACATGTTTTTTTTTCACAGAAATATAAATGCAGAGGGTGGGTATCATGCTAAAAGAAATGAAAACACAAAAAACGACCTTAGTATCAGATTCAGACCCAGATTTGAAAGGTCGGTTTTTCCATGAGGTCCTGAAATTGTACGTGCTCAGGGGGTTGCAGGTATGAATAAGTCAATCATAAGTCCTAATATAGGTGTTTTATCTACAGCATCGTTGATCTAGAGATTTAATGAGACTAACCTACAACACCTTCCCTTTATCAACTAGGGGCTAGCTCCACCTTTATCTATCTATCCATCAACAGCTGGAGAGCCATCCATCGGACGCCAGGACTCCCCACGTGCTGTTCAAGAACTCCATCAACTTTTCAGCTCCCAGATGTCGAGCCTCGGAAAACGATGGCGTTCGAGAAGGCGTTCGAGAAGTTCGAGAAAGGAAAAGGGAAAGACGATGCTAGCAATGACATATCCAGTACCCTCTGGTAAACTAACATAACTATGGAAAATCACCATTTTCAATGGGAAAACTCACTATAAATGGCCATTTAGCTGGTTGGTGGTTGAGCCCTACCCCTCTGAAAAATGATGGAGTGAGTTCGTCAGTTGGGGTTATGACATTCCTAACTGAATGGAAAAAAAATCATGTTCCAAACCACCAACCAGGTAGCAATGACATATCCAGTTAATCTCTATCCGATGATGGCTGTTTCCTCACTTATATACGAGAAACTTGAAAACAAAGAAGGATTTCCCCTTGCCTCGTGGTGAGAGCAAAGGTTTATACATGTTTATACTGATTATGTCCACATGAAGTTTTGAGAGGGTACAGTAAGTTTGAAAGGGTGTAGTAAGTTCGAGAGGGTACTGTCAAGTGGGGTTACCATTCAAGAACAACCAACCCCAACAGCCGAGACAGTAGAAAATTGAGCTAGTGATCAGCAAATCCATGGTTTTAAGATACTATAGTTTAAGGCAGTTGCACCCTTCGGTGTCCTCAAACGTGGCAAAAATACGGAAATCCCCTAAAACATGGAGGTTTCTAGCTGGGAACATCATCGAACTAAATGGGGGATTGTCAAGCAAACCACGTTTGATGACACCGGAGGCTACGGCAGTTGTGCTCGCCAGCTTCTGAAAAACTGACCACTCTGAGTCGTGGTGATTTTTTTCAGTATGGCTAAGCTTAGGGCATCCTTAGACAACATCTGGAACAAATAGAGGGGCCGATGAAGGATTTATGGATATTTCTGGTGGATCTACCCTATCTGGTAAATTAACAGTTCGACCCTGCCAGTTTTCGGGGTTGAAAGATTAGTTTCCTCTAAAAATTGGTGATTTTCAGGGTCGAACTGTTAATTTTCTGGTGGATCTATTTAGAGTCATGAAGTTCTCAACCAGCCGCAGGGACTCTTGGGCATCTGTCAGGGGTCGGTTCCGCGATCCTCCGTGACTGCGATGTGTGAAACGGAGTTGAGTCGGAATCCCACCGAATCAACCTGCAATTCAGTGGCGAGAAATCATATCCTATCAATGTGAGGCCCCCGTTCGATAGCTAAGTTGGCACACATAACTCCAATTTCACTATGGTTTATGCTACTTATAACGAACTAGTTAAACCAACTTATAGCTGGGGGAGGCCACATTGTAATCCTATCTCACATGTGACTGTCATGTTCGTAGAGTGGCATTCAAAGGCACCTAGCCACCTCTGGCCGTTCATTCCATTTGGTGTGTGGTTAGAAAAAACACGGTCGGCTGCTGCCAGAACATGGTATGAACATTGTATGAATCGCAATTTCCCAACATGTTATAATGATTTTCACATTCCCAGTCCTAAAAGCTCCTAACAAAAACAGAAAACCGACTTAGATATCATAATAATGTGGTTAATGACTTTAATAATATAATATCAATTTCCATATCAATGGCTGGTATCATAATATGGTTAACTGTCAGCTGGTTCGGTCAAGATACCAGCCATTTTCCAACCCACTTGGTCTCCCCAGTAGGTGCCCGGACGTGGTCGTCGAAACTTATCTCCATATGCATATGTTTCTCATGCAGGATTTTCCAATTCACAATCTCGGTGTATGTTATCCTTCCGAAACTATCCTTACTGGTGCTAAACGTAGGGAATGGATGGGAATGGGGGTTGCTGGGATCATTATTGATAGTTATTGTGGATCATTCCCTCATTCCCTACATTTAGCACCAGTAAGTATCAAGGTTTCCGAAGTTCAGAAGTACTATCATACTCGACCCCAGAGGTGCCCCAAGATGGTTGATAACAGCTTGCTGGTTAAGCCCTCCTTTTTTTGCGCCATTGGGATGTATAGATATCTGCTTGGTGGTATACCTACCTACCTAGCCCGAAAAATGATGGAGTGAAAGTCAGTTGGGATTATGACATTCCCAATATGTATATATACACATATATACATGGAAAACAAATCATGTTCCAAACCAGCAACCAGATATGTAAGGTTTGTAAGGTTGAATCATGTCGAATCCCCCTGACATCGTCTGAATTTTGCATAATCTTGCCCACCCTGTCCTCGGCATCTTGGCAAAACGGACTTTTGGTGTATCAAACCATCGAAGGCTTTTGCTGTGCCGCGTTGTCGTCAAATTGGGTGATACCCGCAATTTTTGAGCGGAAACATCACACTCAAATCATGAACCAGCATGGGTAGGGCTCTAAATCACGCCAACAAAAGGAGACATCTTGCTTAGTTCGCATTCGATTGCTACACCGGATGTAGCAGCCGGCCAACTTGAAAATGTCAAAGACCTTTACATACCTCCACCTCATGCTCCGCACTGCATAGATGGTACACCCTCATATGAGGAACAGGAAAGAGCGTGTTTCATCTCTCACAACTGCTCCGCAAAAACATGCTGTAGCCATGCTCTTTACATATAGACCGCAAAGATGTCAAGCCGATTATGCATTTGGATTCATCACCAGGTTTTTTTTCGCTGGTAAGTATAAACCATTCCCAATCATGGATGGTTTATGACATTGTTTTACCATGTTTTACCTAAAACCTGAATCTTGCGGCCCATTTGGGCATGAGTTCCCGAATCCTAACCATGATTTCCAGGGTTCAGGAGAACAGTGAGGTCGTTATAATTTACCCAGATATTATGCCATGATGATATCGCCATTCTTCCGAATGTTAAATCCCAACTGTTGATCTGGTTCCGCTTCGAGCCGGAGCTGGCTGCAGCTGGTATGCTGGATCTGGGGATGCTTCGAAGAGAGGACAGGAACAAAGCAAATGGTCATTGTTTATATATATATGGTTACAATGTGGGGCCCAATTATGTAAGTTGGTTTATAATGTTTAATTCCCATGAATACTACTTAAAGTTATATCATGTTATATTAATTACCCTAAACATCCATAAACCATAGAATTCACCTAGTCAATGTGAATTTCAGGATCCTAAAATAGAGGTACTGTACCATATAAGGCAATATTTTGTGGGGACATTCCCTGAAATTTAGGCCTAAAAATAGGCCTTATATTAATGGTAGGTACCTCGAATCAATCGGTTCCTGAAATTCCCATTGATCATATGCTTATAGTTGTAGTTATCATTAGTATTATATGACATAATATAATGTAGTGTGATTAGCCATTATCAGTTAGACCATAGAAAATATTACTGTTCATTGTTAACCACATGATTCTTATTAACCATATCATTAACCATTACTAATGGTATGATATTAACCATAGGGTTATTAAGCTATCAACCATTAACAACCACATTACATGAGTAACTTCTTAGTATTAATAATCACTATGATGATTAGTAACCATAGGATTCTTATTAGTAACTATATGACTGCCTGGAATATTGACCTAGTATTATTTCAGCCAACTTCGCGATTTCGTTGGGACCCTCAACATCTGCCGGTCCCCTGGGCATCCTAAGATTTCGCATCGCTACAAGGGGGTCACCCATATGACGGCTTAGTTGGTTGAGTTCTGCCGGTGAACTAGGGTTTATGGACAGTTTATGGTAGATAGATATATATATATATACACGTATATAAATATAATATAGCCTCTGGTAATTTAACAGTTTGCGAACTGGAAAGATCCAACATAGCTAAAATAGGTGAATCAATTATTTCTATGGCGATTTTCCATAGCTATGTAACAAATTACCAGAGGGTAGTTAGGTGGGTTTATAAATCAACTTGCAACTTGGCGACAGCACCTTGTACTCATCGCAACCCTGGCCATCAAATGTCCCCCATTGAATTTAGGCTCTATGCCCAGGTCCACGTTGAAATCTTCCAATTCCTGCTATTGAATTGTCGGTCGGAATACTCATTTTTGTTGGCTGCTAACACTCCCTCCAGTTTTGCGAGTCAAAGTCATTTTTCTTGCTGATGGTTGCTGATAATACCTCCAAAACTACGGCTTGAAAACCTCATTTCTGTTGCTACCCCCATTTTTGCTGGTGCAACTGTAATGGAAAAGCCGCAACCCATCCCTTTCCCTTCTGCAGGCTCCTGACCTCGGGCGGCTAGGCTCAATGGTTATCCGACTCTAGTGGTTTCTATACTCATCAGAAACATATCATGACTGGTTGGTGGTTTTAAACATCTTGAAACATACTAGTCAATGGGAAGGATTATCGCATATATTATGAAAAATAAAAATGTTTGAAACCACCAACCCGATGATATAGAACATTGATTCAAGCTTATTTCTGGGATGGAAAATTGAAAATCATGGAAACAACAACATATATATTTATGAATTCAAACCACCAGGGCAGTGCTTGTTTGTAAGAGGGAGATCTACGTCTTTGGCTGTCAAAACCAGACTTTTCAAGATGAAGTCCGTGCTTTTTCATGATCAATGGATGAATTCCCTGAATAATTCCTGTGAATCACTGAATCACCGCTCACTTCGATGATTTCTATCTAGTTGGTGGTTGAGCCCTACCCCTCTGAAAAAATATGAAAGTCAGGTGGGGTTACTATTCCCAATATAAGGAAAAATAAAAAATGATTCAAACCACCAACCAGCTATGAACTCTCACCATAATTTGCCCATCCACAGATGTCCAAACGCTTCCGGAGAAGGTCTGGAAAACCCCTTCGAAGAGGAGGTGTTTGTCCGAGGGACGTCTGATAAAGTTGCTCTCAACACTAAAATCATCTATACAATCCATGTGCTATAGGTGGTTAAAAAAAAAACTGCAGTCTTCATGTGTGGTTCAATGGTCAAGTCTTCTTTTGTCATGTGATTATATGCAGTTGGTGGTTCCGAACAAAATGCAAACATATCAAAACCACCAGCCCACTCATATCAAACCAATTCACACTGGAAAAAA